TCCCACCTCCTTGCTTCCACTGGCAGCACTGATGTCATGACTGCTTGGGAAGAGAATGCATCTGTGTTTGGGGGTGGGGCTTGCAGCTCTAGCTCTCCCCCTACCTCCTGTCCCTCCCATGCCAGAAGACCTGGCACCTGCCTTTCCAGCACGCTTCATATTAATCTTTCCTGTGCTGCAAAATGTCTGTGTGTGTGTCACTCCTTTTGTGTTTTATCCCCTCTGTTGCATTCATGCACTGGACTCTTCTTTGATTGTTTGCTTCAGTGTTAAGAGCTATGCAAAAATTGTGTTCTGTCTGTCTGTCTGTCTTTTTCTCCTATGAATATCTTATTTTTCTTCTTTATATTGTGTGTGTGTGTGTGTGCATGCATGCAATCTGTGTGCCTCCCTGCACAGTGATGGATCACGCTGACAGGGAAAACAGCTTTCTTTTTTCAAAGTTTGCAAAAAAAAAAAAAAAGCAAATATACATTGAAAGAAATTAATTGAATAGTACTAAGAGATGCTAAGCTAAGTTAAATCCTACCCAATCCTTTCTAACAACAAAGAGGAGCAGGCAAGTTCACCTACTGAGTAAAGCAACCAGGCTGAGATGCCTGCGTCTGCTACAGTACCTTTCTCACACAGTTCCTGAGAGAGTACAAGCTTGCAAAAGGCACAGCATGCCTCCAAACAGAGGCTTTTATGCTGTTTCTAGGTCCCTCCCCCCCAGATACTGTCATTGGAAAGGCAGCCAGAGAGAAATCCTTCTCACTAGCCACCTACACACGTCAGTCTTCCCCCGCTGCTTCCATTCCCCCCCACTTCCTCTTCTGTTCCCCCTCCCTCTTCTAACTTTCACTTTCGGCCTCCAAAGCTTGTCTGAAGCATCCAAAACTTTTCTGGAGCACTTTGGAAGCTCTGAACCACTTTGGACAGCCTGAATGAACCAGTGCTTCACTCCGGGCATGCTGCTTCAAACATCGAAGTGTCCGAAGCGGCCCTGAATCTGAAGCATGGCCCAAAGCCTTGCACAACCCTAGTAGCAAGAGCTGCTTTATCTACATCAGTTTAAATTAAACTAGTTGGAAAGGGACACTTATGCTTAACCCCCCCCTGCATTTATTGAGTCTGCCCTCCTCTTCCTCCATGAAAACCTTTGAAACATTAAAACCTTTAAGAAAGTATTTTTAACAAACCTTTAATAAAAATCTGTCTAATTTTAGAAATGCACAGCTACATTCATCTACTGTATATGAATCAAGGTCAGTCATTGAACTAACTGAAGTAACACCAAGGATGAATTTGACCCGCAACATATTTTTTTTTCTGTGACATACTCTGCACTGGTTTCTTGAGCTGAATTCCTACTGATAACAAATGGAATAATCCTACTCTGTGCCCCAGGCACTCAATGCTGGCCCATTATGCAGTAGCTTCAATGTTGACTTTCATGTTAGAGCTGAAAACATCAGTTCTTTCTTTAAGTGCCCTGTCATAGCCCAGGAACAGCTATTACTATTTTGTTTTTTTTAAATATAGCATTCAGTATTGACCAGTGCAGTGCAGTGCTTACATTTATCCAAACACTTTAATTAAGGTTTTCTTAATTCCCAATGCAGAGAGACTATAGGAATCTGTCAGTGATTTTTCTTTGCCCCCATTTACCATAATAAAAGATCATTTTCCTAAATAAGTGAACATTTCTCAGTTAGTCTTCCATTATGTTTCCATGACCAAGATAATAATAAATACCCATTAATCACTGAAGTCAAAATCCTTAGAATTGGAATCCTTCTGCATCTAATATCAACCCCTTTTGGTAAAATGTAAGTATAATTCCACAAAAATAGAATTATTTTGAGACAGAAAATATTTTAGGCCACAAGTTATAATATGTTCCTGGCTTCAGATAGTGATGCAAGAGGAGTTACTAAATTACTTGTGTTGTACCTAAACAGAATATGGCTCATTCTGTTTTCTTCTGTTTGATATTAAGGAATGTTGGAAATATGTGCCCCTAAACAACTTGTTTTTCAGAAATTTTTTCAATGATTTCTTCACCAGAGAATGGTTTTATGTAAGTTTATGTAGGCATCTGAAAGTTTATCCCATCCGTAGCAACACGATTTTCTTTAATGTCCATTGGGAATAATCGTTTTAAAATAATGGATGTTGAATGTTTATATTTTAAAAAGAAAATGGAGAAAAGAGAGAGCTTTTTTATTGTTGGTGACCAGTCATGTGTTTTTTTCTATAGAACAAGTATTTGAAAGTGCTTTTCTTCTTTTGGTTTGCTTTTCTCTTCCCCATATACTTCCTTAGCTATGTCTGCATTATGACAACACCATAAATGAGCAGGAGTAATCTGACCGAAGTAGCACTCACTGTAATGTATATTAAACCTTTCACAAACAGATAGGCACTAAGCAGATCATTAGAAATAGCGGGTATATGATAAGTTGAAATTGTACATTTTGAACAAATTGGAATACAGTCAAATGTATACATGGTTTTGCCAAAATAGAAATAAACAGAAACAGAAAATTTTAAATGTAGTCAAATCAGGTCAGGTAGCACCTCATCTCCCCCCCCCCCCCCCCCCCAGCCATTAACTTGAAACAAAGCCTGCTAAAGTCAGTGGTTTTGGATTAGGCTCTGCATTAGTAAATCATCCTCAGATGTGTGATGTGAACATGGGGAGATTTTTACCACCTAAATATCCATTCCATTTTAGAGTAAATAATGTTGGAATAATGGGAAGAATATATATCGGGCATCAGAAAAAGGACTGTAAAATATTGCGTATCTTTGTCTTGTATTACTGTTGTGTGACAGTTTAATGCTAGCAGGGTATAATAGAAGTAGACAAGTGAAGAGACTTCACTGAAAACTTTTCCTTGGACTTAATCAAGAGGGCTATCCACTTGGAACTATGAATGCTTTAACAGGAATACTAATCTTTACAACCATGTGGACTGGAGAAAACTAGAAAAACCATCAGATAGTATATTTTTTCTTAACTGCTTTAATATTTAAATGAAAACAAAACAAAACCATAACCTTTAATGCCAGATGATATGCTGAATATGAAATAGTTTCAAAAGGAACTGAAATTTAGTGTGAAGTACCAATGAAAACTGAATAAAAGAGCACAAGATATGCAAAATATGCAGCATTATTTACATGAAAAATCAATGGAAAAGTAGATAGAATTAAATATTTGCATTCAGTAAGCTTTGCATATATGCTGATTTACCCAAATACCAAACTGATTCTAATTAACTCTAAAGAAAAATGTTGAAGGCATTGAAGTAATGGAAAATGATACTTTAAATAAAATCTGTTATCAATGAGTGTCTTGATAGTAAAACATAGCAAATATAAATCACCCTTGATTAACAAGAGGCAACCCATACTTTCCCCTTATTTTCAAAGATAGGAAATAGTGCAATTTGTTCTAATGCAAGGCTCTAGCTAAAATCTATACATATATTGTCTTGTTTTAGAAGTATAGCTTGCGTTTTATCTAAGGAGTTTTGTTTTTTTTAATCTGCATTGTCACATTCTGTAAAACCATCACATTAAATAATGCAACACATTTAATTTATCAATATTGTGATCTCAATTCCGGCACTTTTTACAGTCTCTTTCTGGTGAAACCCAGCACTGTGTCAAGCCCTGTGATTAATGCACCAATAGTACTTGTTCCTTTGCAGGATGTAGTTGTGCCAAGGCATGTGACTTCAAAGGTCAGGGATAGTTGAACCATACCATTGAAAATCATCTGTGGACAAAGATGCATTCTCTTAAGATCAAAAGAATAAGGTGTTATTAAGCTGTCCTCTTTGATTCTTGTCCCTGAACTATTCATCAGCCCCCTAGCACCTAAGTTAGATCATTTTAGACTGAAGAAGTTGGGGCAGGAGGCAGGGGAGAGGCAGGGAATCATTCTGAAGTTTAATCTAGTGAGATTTTGCCTGCTTCTCAATAAGTGCATCTACACGTGCACTTTACTGCGGAGATGACTAATTAACTCCATAGTAAAGCATCACCTACATGTGCCCCTATTAGGGCACAGTCGATTAATGAACTCTGCTGTATGATAGTACTGTCCAGGATAAGTACTATCCTACAGCAAAGTAGTTGTGTGTACTGAAATGCACATGTAGATAGTGACCAGAGCTCATTGGGGCATGAGGGTGCTACAGTGCGGGAGCTGCCTGGTGCCTCGCCCTGCATTGTAGCACCCTCATGCCCCTCCAACCCCTCTGAAGCATATTGAACTGGGGCGGAGAAGCCCTGAGCTGGCAGGCTGACTCCCCCGGCTCTCTGCCAGCCCAAGGCTGCTCCACCTGAGCAAAACGTGCTGTGGTCCTGGGCGCACATGCAAATACTGCACCCAGGATCAATAAACTCTGGCACAAACTGTGCCAAAGTTTATTGCTACATGTTGATTGTAGGTATAGATGTACCCAATGTGTTTAGTAAGTAGGTATTATAGGTGGTCTGAGGGAGCCAGATAAATACCAGGACAGATATAGGGTTGTAGTGTGCTATATTACATTTTTGCAAAGTGTGCACTGCTTAAATAAATAAGATATTGCTTTGAACATGTTATAATTAACATGCCTGGATTACCCTAGTGTGTATATCTCTAAATGTCAAAGATGCTAGTGATCCATCAGGAAAGCTGGGTACTTTAGCTAATCCTACTTGTTTTACTGGAAATCAGAGAACTGTTTTCCACTTTGGTTATGATCCCATGCCAAATGAGCTTTGTGTTCTTTAAATGATGGTAACCCCTGTTTCTTGTTTTTTGTTTTTTTCTAGAATCATGATTTAAAAAAAAGGAAAAAAAGTCACTGCAATGCTCAGTAACCAAGGTTTGTGTGTGTGGGACTTAGAGGTAGAAAGATACTAACTCCTGTGACTGAAGTCAGATGATTTTGAGAGACTAAGATGTAACAGTTATAATTAGCTTGGCTTAGTCCCCGTGCTGCGTGGTAAGAAGCAAATCAATGGTCTACAGCACTGGGAACAATGTTGGAGGGAAGGAAAATGAAGCAAACTGGAATCATCTGATATGCTCCCAAATTCTATTGCAGCTTCACTATGGAAACCCAACCTGTAGTGGGTTCTTCCTTATAGTAAGTTTTCATTCCCTTCTTCTTGTTTATTCTTAAATTATCATTTATCTTGGCTCAAATTTACTAACAGGAGAATATTATCTTTTATCTGGATCACAGACATTTTGCATGTGGTGGTGTTTTGCTGTATGACTACAATTGGGGATTTTTCAATTAAAAATTTTTGTTACAAAATGTTGATTTGTTGGAATTGCAAGTTTTGTTCCGATCATATATGCCCATTTTAATAGGAAAGTTCTCTTCAGTCCAGGAAAGAATTTCTGCTTAGATAGAGATATCCACACTAACAACCCAAGGAGTCAGTAACCTAGTGGTGGGAGAGTACATCTGGAAAATCAAGGTCCAAGTCTCTCCACTGCTTGATTCTGGTCAAGGACTCAAACCTCAGTCACATGTCTTAGGTAGGTGAATTAAATCAGGGTTCAAAAAAACCTGCATAGTAAATGGAAAACCCAAACTGACTTATTTTCTCCTTACATTTGGGGCATTCTTGTTTGCCACAGTCAGCCAGTATGTCAGCCAAAATAAACTCTTAATGATGACACTTTCTATGGAAAGTAATAATAGACTTTTGGCCAGTAGGTTAGAATTCAACTTTTTAAAGAACAAAAAATTAGTTCTGATAGTTATCAGCTTAATTAAATTTAATGTTACACAAAGAACCAGCCAGATTGTGTATAGTTACATCTTAAACAAAAATCTTTCTTGCGGCATTGAAAATATTTTCACTACTTCATTTTGTTGTTTGATGTGACTGTAACCTAACATAAATCAGGGTTATTATAAAATCACCAGGCCCATGAAATGTTGTGTCAACCATGAAATTAATGTATCTGAGTCTCATGTATGAGACTGAAAGTTCTAAAAGGTTTTCCAGCATCAAGAATCTAGATAGTTTTAAGTTAAATTACTGTAATTTTGGTTAATTTTTCTGTGCCAAAAGTAAATACCCTAATTCATGTTCATCTGAATATGAACTACTAGATTATACAATAAAATATACAGTTTACAATAAAATGTATTGTTTCCCACATTCAAAATATAGATGATGTCTATGTTTTGACATTGCTGCTTTGGTGGCCTATTACAAAATACATACGATCAAAAGTTCTG